ATTTACGAAAATTATAAAAATTATATAATTTATTATTATATATAAAAATTATATTATTTCAATGCTTCAGTGTTGTGGGTGTGTGTGGGTGTGTGCGGATGTCAGAGTGTGGGTTGGTTTTGGTTTGTGTTTCAACAGTAGAAATGCTATTTGAAATAAGTTTTCTAAAAAAAAAAAAAAAAATTATATGCACAGAGAAAGCGCTATTTCAAATAGCGTTTTCTTTAGAAAAAAAATTTTATGTTAAAAGCGTTATTTAAAATAGCGATTTATTAATTAAAAGTATGTTTTACAATAGCGCTTTCACTATTTATCAATTTTTGGACTCCAAACAGTGAAAGCGCAATTTGTAATATCACTTTAGTCTAGTTTGGGAAATCCGTCCAAACTAGGCCTAATTTGAGAAATAAGATGCAAAAGAGGCTTAATATGGGAAAAGCCCCAAAAATGCCATCAACATTTGGACAATTCCGTCCTCTTAAGGGGTAAGATAAACGTACATCACGGATGCAACAGAAGAGGATATGATGTAATCTGAATCTTGTCATTTGTTAACCAACTTATTTTACAATCCAGGGAGACATCAGACTCCAAATATTTAGCAAGTGATAAAACCAGCAAAATGAGACTTGACTACACAGCTCGAAATTATTAAAAGAAAAATCTGCATAAGGTCGTAAATAATGAACAGTCAAAAAGAATATTGTTCTCCAAAAAATGGCAGCTATTACATTAGGGAAAAAATAAAATAAAATCTTGATCATGTGTTATCTAAACAGATGCTTTGTACCGGTAAATTCAAGAAAATTAGTTGGAAAAACAAAAAAGAAACAAATATATTGCAGAATATTAGCCTGTACATTGACAATGCAATTTGGCTTAGCCGAAGGGTCATCACTATCTTTGTGCCTTCCCAACAGTGTAAATATACTGAGACAGACACAATGCTGTTTCACAATGGAAAAAGGCTAGTTAGTCCCATAGCATTTCATGAACATGGCAGATGTGCAGAATTTAGTACAAACCATTGATGTACAAATGAATGAATACCAAGCATGATGCTCTAAATCCACTGAATAACTAAGCCTAAAAGTACTCACGTGGAGCCAAGGAAAAAGGCGAGGGAGAGATGAAACCCAAATAGGAACACAGAAAAAACTGCCGTCAGCAGCATTGCCACTGAAGTAGAATACACCTGCAAGCCGCAAGATTCAGTGCAGCTAAATAAGAGTACTATACTTATAAAACAAGTAATAGTGTGCAGAAGAATGGACTGATCGTATTCAAAGATCCAAACACATGGATGATCTGAGCGCAGAATGAGCAGACAAAAGCAGTAAGATTTCAGTTATTGCTACATGGACATACACTGGACTGACAATAAAGTGAGAAATGCAACCACATCGACATGGTTGTAAATTTTTCTTTCCATGCAATATTGAGCCATCTGTAACAATTTTTTGCAAATTAAAACATGAATAAATGTTGGACAAGATCTCAGGAATCACTTCCACTGTTCATTCATTTTGTGGGTTGCCCTGTCAAATACTATCAGAAACCAATATCCATGGCATGTACTTGTTAGTTCTTACTAACTGTTCTTTTTTCACCTTTTTTTTTAAAAATTAGCTAAAGAATGAAGCATCAATATATGTAGCTAACTAACCAAACAATATAACACGTTTTTCAGTGTCTACTGACACAGAAAGAATTCATTTTCTTTTTGACGAGTGCAGGTACATGGGTCCACCATGCATGTGGCTTGGCCACGCCATTGCCAGATTAGCTCCTCCAAGAGATCTTGATTCCACATGTCAACCTTGTAAGGTGACACCTAGATCAATTAACTATTGCCGCGTGTGCTAGTCAAGGCTAGTCTCAAGTCAAGGCACACCACTAGGTGGCAATATCCAGGAAAGCCCCATGCAAGCTTACTGTTTGGCGGAGCATGCCTCCACACTGAAGTGACACTTAACCATCTTCCAGCCAACACATACTAGTTATACTAGTTCTTTTCTTTGCATCATAAATGAATAAATGTAGAACATTATGCAGGCACAGTATGCGAACTAGTGCACCTTTGATACAAATACAAAGTAATATTCATAGACATACCTTCAAAATATTGTCAGCATACTTCATGACCATCGATACAGCAATGCCACTGCAAAGATAACAAATTAATTCATACTGGAAGAAATAAATTTAGATATGTAAAATGGAACTATTTAAATTAATCATAAGTCAACAGGAAAAACCAAAGTTCATATGTAATTGAGCTATTTATTCCTTTCAAAAAAGGGAAAAAAAACCCAAAAAAAAAAAAAAAAAAAAAAACTTACAAATAAAAGGAACAAAAAAATCCCTCAACTAAAAACTAAATTACAAAAAGGAACTAGTTTATATTATGAAGTTCACAGTATTAGATTATCTTAAGAGGGAAAAAGGATTTTTTTTATTTAAATAAGTAATATGCAGAAAAAGGACATTCAGTACAAGATTATGCATGGCAGAAAACTAAAAAAAGGACAGTTCATGCTAGAGACCATCTCACTTATCAAAGTCACAACTGATAGTCAAATAGATGATGTAAAACCAGTAATGTACGAGAAAACTGTCATGGACTCTCACCATGGTCCAATAAGTGGTTCTGACATACAGTATTCTTTGTAAAATTCTTTTAAAAAAAAATTGGCCTTGATGGAAACGACTTATCCATTGGGACCACATTTCATTTATATACTACACATATATCTATGAGATGGTACTGTCTAATAAAATAATTGTTGAAATTGACATGCTTGAAAATTTTATTCCACTTAATAGTTGAGATTACCCAACCTAAGGTAGTGGAATAATTTCCGTTAGAATAATAAATAATGAATTTGGTACAAGTTATGTCTTTTACTACCACACATTGCACAGGCTAGTGTTCATTAATGTTTACCAACAATGCAAGCAATAAACATTTCCTCAACCCCGTCTGAATATCTGACCTCAAGAAGTTTGAAGTGAGTTTATAATAATCTACAAAATTTGCCAAATCTTCACATTCCTACGGGGGAGTGATCTCTATCAAATCAGAAAATTTGGAACTAGAAAGGAAAAAAGCTATCGATGGATGATACCAATTCAATCTTATTACCTTAGTGCATGGTTAAGAATCATGAGAGTTGTAATTAATGAGTATCCGTGGAAGAACCCCCTGTAAAAGAAAATTTTTACTCATGAAATATAAAGAAATTATGAATTCATTTAAGCACCGCAACAGGAGAACTGGACTAGTTAAGTAACAAACTAGTCATAGACAAACATGTCAAAAACATATTGAATCTGCCAACTTATGAAGTCAAGCCAAAAAGAAGGAACCACCATTCTGTTTGTGACAGAGAGAGAATGCAACCACCATTCTGTTTTCCTCAAAAGAAATGACATTTAGTTTCTGTTCTAGTTTTCTCTAGTAGTTGTAAGGCAGGGAAGTTGGAAATTGTAGTATCAAGATACTTCAAAGCAGGGCTAATGAGATGCAATAGAAAATAACATGCCACAAGGAGACATACCTATATATTGTGAGAAAAGAGAAAAAGTTACTTTCTCATTGATAAAGATCCCAATTATCATCCAAATCACTTTATTCAATATTTTTAAATACAATCATAGGACTACATGATGCAAATGTAACCCACCTAAGCTCTTAACATATGCGGTGTTTAACCCGCTATGTGTTGAAGGTGAACTCAAAACTTTGTAGAGGTCATCATGGTCAAATCCAAAAGCAGAATAAAAACAAAGAGCATTTCAGAATTACTTGTTCATGACAGCATCAAAATCTTGAATCAGTATTGCAATAGCATTGAAGCCCATCCCAAAGACGTATAACCAGAAGTTCTGCACATTTATGTTCCTTGAAGGACGCTTTTTAATTATAGCCTGCAGAATACAGAAGCAAACATAATAACAAGAATGACTACTAAGGTACTCAGTTGAGATTTCCCACTACTTTCCTTCCTGCACAGCATCAATTAAGATACTCACTGGGGAGTTCTAACATAACTAACTATGTACCAACCAAAACCAAGCAATCCTGATTATATACTGTTGGCTGAGCAATTCATTTGAGCAGTAATCATGCTTTAAACATGAACTGCAGTTCCAGACAATAAAAGAAACATTGTCAAAGTATTTACCTCTGTGTAAACTCCAGCAAAACCACTTAGAAGTGCCATGACCTGCATGGGAATTATTGAATGTTACAATAAGTACGAAAAAATAAGAAAACTCAAGCTTTCTCTTCAATTAGTGAATCAAGCTTCTCACAATGGCCATCACCCAACCTTCAAAAGGAGTTTGAAGAACTCGATCAGAACTGAACAAACAATAGTAAGAATGAGCCAATAAAGACACAAACAATCTAAATGACGAAACAATCCAAAACTACTAGTCAGAACTGCACAAACAATGTCATTCTGTAAGAAAAAGCAAATAAAGACACAACAAGAAATTCTAAATGATAAAACAATCCAAAACTAAAAAGCAATGAACAATCCTCCTCCGTCCTCAAACACAAAAACATGATTAGAGAAATTGACATTGAAGAAATACTTTTAGGTATAAGCAGAATATTACATTAAACATTTTACAAAACTTTATATCAACACTCAGGCCACAAGCTAGAGTTACCATGTACATTCAGCACACATGCAAATCCAATTGAAACATCGAGCAACAGCCTTAAAGAGAGTTTCAAGGCCATTGTACTAAATAGACTAGAAACAATGATGTGTGTCAGCAAAATCTGAACTAATAAAATTTGAAGACCCCTCAAGAGCACAATTAAAAGATGATCAAGGTCACTCTTACGATGGATTCAGTTGTGCTGTGGTGCACCCTGCACATAATAGAATGAAGGCAGCCCACTGAATCTCACTTAACCTGAAAGAAAATAACAATTAGAGCACAACATCTAATAAGAATCTTAATGTCCTGTTCATTTCAGTGTTTCTTCTTAGGTAAACCTAGAAAAGAAAAGAAAAGAAAAAATATTTTGTTCTTTGCTCACTACTCAGATTGGCATTGCCAGCTCAGTTTACTTCTCATTAGTTGGTAAAAAGCTCGGTTCATGGATCCTTCTATTCATGGATATTAGTCATGATACCAAAAAACTTATGTTGACATGGAATTTAACCTCAAAAATTTTTACTTTTTCAATTTTTCTACTTCCTCTTTCATATGAAGAACATAATTCCTAGTGCAAATGACAGGAGGACTTACTTCCTCTTAAGAATAATTCTGTATAACACACCAGTACTGATAATATTGAGGTTCTTCAGTATCTGGTACCCCGGGGCATCCACATAAGCAAAGATGTAATACTGCCAGATAAAGTCATGTTTAAGAAATCAGGAAGGCCAAAGCCACTGCCACCTGTGAAAAAAAAGAAAAGAAAAGAAAAGAAATGCAACTTACCTGAAGCAAATTTTTTATGAGGTAAAGCGCTGCTGGTATGGGGTATACACTAACTTCATCCAATGTCGTACTCAACCTAATAGCATCAGGACATGTATAAGAACACAGTTTTAGCCAAAGCAGCTTCACATATTCCAAAACTGAGGGACAGGAAAAAAGCAATAATGTATAGAGAGAAAGAGATGAAAGAAATGACCTGTTATCATCAGTAACGCCTTCATTTCTCCAGATTCTTACCAAGGCTGCAAGTGATCATGCACATTTCAAAGCCTCTACCTAATTCCAAAAGAATGAAGCAAGAAAGTCAACTTTAACTTTCATAACATCAATTCTATGATCATCCTATCCTACTATAACTTGAATAATCATAACAGCCTTAACATTTATCAATAGAAAATAATCATAATAGCCTTAACAGTGCTAGTTTAGTTCATGCCTTTTGAACCATCTTAGCCGGAGAATATTATTTCCTCACCATGAAATTTGCAGTTGTAACACTGTAATCGTACTTTCCAGCTCTCTTGGACCAGACAATGAGTATAGCCTGTGAACTTGTTAGAACAGTCAATGCAAGTGTAACAATTGACCTATAACAATAAGGAAGTATTGTTAAAGAGATGATTTTTCTCTAATCTGACCAATAGGAGTGGCGTGATGCATTAGAATTGAATAATGGGTCTTACTTGCACCTCCACTTCAACTGTTCACTAGAGCTGCCTCCTAAGGTGGCCATGTTGCCAACAGGAACTGCAAGGTCAATAGTTATTATGAGGACTAGAGGAATGCAGATTACATGAAAAGCATGATAGGTTACTCATTGGGCGGGCTGCTCATCAAGTTCAAGTTTGAGCTTTAACGAAAACATACCACCTGAAAAAGCTTTTCCGAGTAAGTTGTCTATATCGTCACTGATTGCATCCTCATCTTTATCCTAAAAGTTCCATAGATCAATGGAAACACAAGGCAGAAGGAGCTGAATGTGCTTGAAATAATCCAAGTTTCTTGGCACATAAAGAAAATGACAGACCAAAAAAACATATATACGACTATTCAATGGGGATAACTCGACTAAAGTGTATTAGGTATGTGTATCTATCTATCTATCTACACAGAATCAGCCCCTACCATGTACTGGCTTAATCTGGCCCTGCATTTTCTTCATAGGGCTGGTAGGTTCCGCCCCTGATCTTAAGACCCACAAGGTTAAGCAACTTGAATAAATCACAACAACAACAACAAAAAATGAAAACAGTTGATAAGATTATTAGCAAGCAGCATAAAAACTTCAAAAAGCATAAAAGAAAAGAGTAAGAGGAATTCACATGGCCTAAGTTTAAGAAAAATGAAAATTAGGATGAATGAATCAAAAGAAGTACAACTAGTTGTAGTAGGCATCAGAAATGAATACATCAAAACTTGATCAATTGTATTGGAGCAGAGAGGGAAGAGAAGCATGTGAGATTTCAGATAATCGAATTGGACAAACGATGATTATAAGATTGAGAAGATACAATACGATACGATACAATACAAGAAATGGAAGCTAAGTTTTGTTTATTAGGGTTGATTTAAATTGATTGCAAGCTGTAATCATGTAATCAACGGATTAGAGTAAAGAAAAGGAGAAAAAGGGGCAAAACCTCATCTTTGATTTTTCGATACTCCATTGGACCGAGCGAATCAGCTGTTCTTTTCTTGCCCCTCCCTCCAAAATCAGATCCCTCTCTCTCTCTCTCTGGGTGTAGTGTTGTAAGCGTAGTGTTGAACTGCAAGCTTTTTGTTTTCATCCAGAGTATTCCAAAGATCGCAAATCAAATGACAAAGAAATGTGAAAGAACATAAATAAAGATCTAAATTGTGGTGCTGGTGAAGTTGGAATGCATGTTTTGCAAAAAGGAGCTTTTTTGATAAATTCATTTTCTAAGAGTTTTATTCTATTCAATTTATATTCTTTTTGACTATTTTATTAGGTTCAATTTGAGATAAGAAGACTAAAATATCCTTTTCATCTACTTATGTTCCATTTAGTTCACATTATTTTCTTATGTTTCAATAAGTCCTATAAGTGACATAATTACCAAAATACCCTTAATGTGAATGTTCACACCGTCAATATAAATGTTTATATCGTCAATGTGTAGGAGCCTGGCTCATGTCGATCCTCGTGGGTGCTCGGAAAAATTCGAGTCGGGCCGGGCCGGCCCACAAGCCAAAAAAAATAGGCCCGACCCGGCCCGTTGATAATATAAATATTCACATTGACAAGTTAACATTCACATTGATAGGAGTGTAAAATTGGTCTGCGGCCCGTGGGCGGCCCGAAACTAGCCCGTCGCCCGGGGCGGGCTCAGGCCGGCCCGTTCACAATATGAATATTCACATTGACATATTAACATTACAATACAAGAAATGGAAGCTAAGTTTTGTTTATTAGGGTTGATTTAAATTGATTGCAAGCTGTAATCATGTAATCAACGGATTAGAGTAAAGAAAAGGAGAAAAAGGGGCAAAACCTCATCTTTGATTTTTCGATACTCCATTGGACCGAGCGAATCAGCTGTTCTTTTCTTGCCCCTCCCTCCAAAATCAGATCTCTCTCTCTCTCTCTGGGTGTAGTGTTGTAAGCGTAGTGTTGAACTGCAAGCTTTTTGTTTTCATCCAGAGTATTCCAAAGATCGCAAATCAAATGACAAAGAAATGTGAAAGAACATAAATAAAGATCTAAATTGTGGTGCCGCCCTGGTGAAGTTGGAATGCATGTTTTCCAAAAACAAAATAGTAAAACTTTTTAAAACAATTTTTTAGTTTTTTTTCGTCGTCGTCGTTGTGGTCATTAACGAACTTTTGTTCTTATATTTTAGTTATTTTTTAAATTTAAATATAATTTGAAAACAAAAGAAATATTGTAAAAAATCTAGAATTTTTTTTTTACAAATCTCTAATATTAAGATTTTATAAGATGATGGCATACAATATTTTTATAGTAGTCGGTATCCCTCAATATTTTCACAAAAAAATTCAACTAAGAGAAATTTGTGTTCAATTCAAAGAAATTTTAGTCCGAATCAAAAAAATTTTAGCCCCGACACAAAGAAATTAAATTTTCACATAAAAAATTTCTCTGATATGATCACAGAGAATTTTTTTTTTCTAATATGATCATAGAGAAATTTCATTGAGAAACCTTAGATAATAAAAAAATTATTTTTGGATTTCTCCTACTTTATAAAATTGGAAAGATATGTTTTACTAATTTTTTAAAAAATCTAAATAAAAAAATTATAAAAATTACCGATCTATTCATTTTAGAAATATTTTTCTTCCACCGTTGTGAGAGATCACTTTGCTTGGTTTGAATTTTTTAGAAACACTTTTCAGAAAATTTTACTTTCTTGTTTTTCATTTTTTTGTTTTTTTTTTGACTGAATTTTTAAAATATTGTAAGTATTTTTTTAAATTTTTAGGTACACCTAACATAAATACACTTAAAAAGTATAATTTTTGTAAAAAAAATCTTTAAAAGATTCACTAAATACCAAAAATATAAATAAAATAAAATAAAAAATTTAGTACATTTTTCATATTTTTGTGTATTTATTAATTTTTTAAAATATATTTTTTAAAAATATTTTACTTTTTTTAAAAAAAAGTTTTATATAAAATTTAGTACATTTTTCATATTTTTGTGTATTTATTAATTTTTTAAAATATTTTTTTAAAAATATTTTACTTTTTAGACAAATCTAAGTAAGATGTATCTAAAAAAGTAAAAAAAAAAAAAGGTTTAAAATTTTAAAAATATTCACTAAAGAAATACAAAAAATAAAACACTCAATTTTCAAAAAACTCAAACAAAACACACTAAACGAGTTTTGGGGAGTTTTTTTTTGTTAGGGGTTTGGGAGATTATGATTTTTAGGGGTGTATGTTTGAGTAGGAGTAAAATTTTCAAAAGACTAATTTTGATATTATTTAGGAGGGGAATTTTTTTTTTAAGAGTTTAAATTTATAAATGAAAATTTAAAATAATAAATTAGATGCTAATAGCAGCATTCATATTTACTCTTTATTATTTTCTTTAATTTTTTTATGCAAAGTATTCTTACGAAAAAATTATATTGATACAAACAATAACTATAACAAACATTACAAGAAAATGAATCAAAACAAACATTACAAGATTGATATTTTGTTTTAAAATAAAAAAATTCACATTCATATTTATATCATTTTGTACAAAAATTGCGAACAAAACTCTAGAAATTTTTATGAATAGCATTTTTCTTGATAAAAATTTGTGTTTGAATGGTTCCCTAGTTCTAGCAATTTCAAGAGACATCTTTAGAATGAGTTAGATCATGAATTTAGATAAATTTTTTAAAAATGAATGAAGTATAAATATAATATAATTATATTTCATTCACATATTTCTTCTTTTTCTAAATTCTTATCCGAATTTTTAATTTCTAAATTTTTATTCAAATTTATAATTTAAACGTAACTAAAATGTGTTTGTCTGGAACTTTATTTATACCCATGCCATATCACATCACATAACACCCGAGTACTTCAACAATCTTTCAGAGAACATGCAAGTTCAAAAATTATCGGCCAGTTTCATGGTGGGTCTACTTGTTAATGAGACATGTACTTGTGAGAATAGTAGTGTTCGTTTTCCTTTTCCTTTTAGGATTAGGAATTAGTGATAGTGTTTTATATCTAAAGCATTCTCTATCAGTGGTGTATTTTGTTTAGGATTAGGGTTTAGCATCCTATATATTTGTATGATGTATTCTTTGTTTAAGGCAATCTAATATACAGTTTTGTTTAGAAAACTTACATGGTATCAAAGCTAGGTTCAAAACCCTAGCTGCTTCGCTTATCACCATCGTGGTTCGCTGGTCAAAGGGTCATCGATCTTGACCCCTCCTTGGTTCTTCTGGTTCGTGATCAACCCTAAGTGGTGACATTTTGGTTTGTCTGGGTCATCACCATCAACCCTCTCTGGTTCGACTGGCTTGTCACCATCGGAGTCGCGACTTTTCTCCCTCCAGACTCACGAGGGTTCGAAACCCTAGCCCTCTCTGGTTCGTCTCGCGAAGGCCTCTCTCTTCTTCGCGATCTCTGTCTGATCTGATTCGCAGCCATCTACTTCAGCTTTCTGGTTCGTCTGCCTCTCTCTTCCTCACGATCTCTATCTGATTCGCTTCTCAGCCTCAGTCTCTCTCTCTCTATCTTCAACTTGGCTATTTCTATTTAAAACCCTATTTCAGGATTATTGCACTAAAGTCTCATATTTGTCTGTTTATTACAAATTTTGTTTTATTACAATATCGGATACGAAAATCCAAGCCATCAAATGTAAGCTCACTGGTGGCAATTATGTCTATTAGGCTAGTGTCATGAAGAATTTTCTTCTTGGTCAAAAAAAATGGGACTATGTTTCTGGTTCTGCTCCTCGTCCATCGGACCCGAAGGTAGAAGGGTATATGTCTTCTTGTGACACTTGGGATTGTGATAATGCCCAAGTTCTAACCTGGTTTCATAATTTTGTGGATGACCGCATTGGAATGATGTTTTCCAAGCACAGTACTGCCAAGAAAGTGTGGGATTATTTACTCGGTGTTTATCAGCAATCCAACTTTGCCAAGCAGTATGAGTTGGAAACAACTATTCAAAGTGCTCGTTAGTGGGATCAAACAATTCAGGACTTTTATATTGAGATGGCAGGTCTCTGGGATCAATTGGCTCTTATGGAACCACCTAGTCTCAAGATATTAGACGCTTATATTGAGTTTCGGGAACAGGGTCGTTTAGTCCAGTTCTTAACAGCTCTCTTCCCTCAGTATAAGGCTATTCGAGGTGGCATCCTTCACCAATCTCCTCTTCCCTCTATGGATGCTATTGTTCGTGAACTCCTCTCTGAGGAAACCCGTCTTAAGACAGCCAGTCAGACTTTGCCTCATTTTGTGTTATTGGCTCCTACCAAGCCGCCCTTGTTATCGACCCCTCCTCCTCATCAGCTTCAGACCACTGCGAAACCCAAGAGAGGACCATTAGGGCCAGATGAGTGTGCTTTCTGCCATCAGAGGGGTCATTGGAAGAACAATTGTTCCAAAAAGGGACGTATGCTTGCTCGGTCTTCTCAGACACAGTTCCGTGGTCCTACTTCGGGTACTTTCCGACCTCTTGCTACTTATACTGCATCTACTCCGGCTCCCGATCCTGTCTTGGCTTCCCTGAGTGCTCAGGATGCACAATTTCAGCATATCCTGTCCACCTCTCAGTCATCCCCATCTGCCTCCGCTCTTACCTCTCTTCATTCAAGTTTGCTTGGGTCCTCTTCAAGTATCCCTTCTTCTGTCTGGATTTTTGATTCTGGTGCCTCTCATCATATGACTCCTCACATTTCCTTACTTCAAAATTGTATTCCCCACCCGTTCCTATTACTATTAATACTGCTAATGGATCTGGTATGTCTGTTCTATCTGTTGGGCCTGTCTTACCCTTTGCCATGTCTGTTATTACTATTTCTTCTGTTTTTATGTTCCTCAGTTATCTGTCAGTTTATTATCTATCAGTGAACTTGATGCGTCTGGTTTTGATGTTATCTTTTCCTCTTCTGTCTGTTGTGTGCACGATTGGGTGTCCAAGAAGCAGATTGAGACTGGCCGTAGAATTGGAGACCTCTATGTGATCGAAAGCTTGCATCTCCCCTTATCCACCTCTCCAGCTGCACTTTTCTTATTTCAGTTAGATTCTCAGTCGAGTCAGTTTTACTTATGGCATTCTCGCCTCGGTCATTTGTCTGTTGACCGTTTACAATCTTTAGCTCAGTCAAGGTTATTGGGTAAAGTTTCTCCTAGTCAAATTGATGAATGTCGGGGGTGTAAACTTGCTAAAATGTCAACCTTACCATTTAATAAAAGTACCTCTATTTCTATTTCTCCTTTTTCTCTTGTACATACTGATGTCTGGGGACCCTTTCCTATTCTTACTAAAGGGGGCTCTGCATATTATGTGTCTTTTATTGATGACTGCACCCGTTGCACTTGGGTTTATCTTATGACTTATAAATCTGACTTTTACCAGATATATCGTACCTTCCAGTCTATAGTCACTACACAGTTTGAGTCTACTATTAAATTGTTGCGGTCTGACTTGGGTGGGGAATACGTTAAAACTGAATTCTGTGAATACTTGGCCAAATTGGGTACTATTCACCAAACTTCTTATACTGATACACCTGCTCAAAATGGTTGAGCTGAGCGTAAACACCGTCATCTCCTCGAGACAGCTAGGTCTCTCATTTTCTACGCCTCCGTTCCGGCTCCGTTTTGGGGTGAGGCAGTTCTTACTGCTGCTTTTCTTCTCAACCGTATGCCTACCCCTCTTCTTTCTAGTCGGTCTCCTTATGAGGCTCTGTTTTCTCAACTTTCTAATTACTCTCTCCTTCATGTATTTGGGTCTGCTTGTTTTGTCCTTTTACCATGTAAAGATAAGACTAAACTTAGTGTCTGGTCTGTCCTATGTGTCTTTTTGGGTTATAGTCTCACTCAGAAAGGTTATCGCTGTTATGACCTTGTTTCTCGTCGCCTTTATGTCTCCCGCCATGTTGTCTTTCTTGAACGTCTATCTTACTTTCAACTTCCTCCTCTCACTGCCCCTGTTTCCAAAGAGGATTTGGTTCATATTGATCCATTTCCTTCTGAGGTTTCGTCTGATGAGTACATCTCCACAGTTACTCTTGAGCTCATTCTATCTTCTCCTCCTACTTCACCTCTGGCTGTTTTTCCTCCTTTGGCCTCTTCTCCTTCTCCATTGTTAGTTTATTCTCGTTGCAAGGCTCTTCCTACACCAGTTGTCTCTACCCCCTACTGTTGATCCTCATGTTTCTGACGACTCTGATCCTGCTGCACACTGATATCCTCCTCGAGTGCGTCATCCTCCAAACAGGTTGGGTTGATCTAATATTTTTTTTTCTGCTTCCTATCGTACCTTTTTGTCTGCTATTCACTCTTTTGTAGAGTCTCAGTCTTACAAGGAAGCCTGTCAGGATCCTCATTGGGTTCAAGTTATGGAGGATGAGTTGTTTGCTCTACAGAAAACTAATACATGAGAGTTGGTTCCTTTGCCTGTTGGTAAGAATCTAGTTGGTTGCAAATAGGTCTACAAAGTCAAGACTCATTCTGATGATTAGTGTTACAAAGCTCGTCTAGTTGCCAAAGGTTTCTTCCAGGAATATGGCATTGATTATGAGGAGACGTTTGCTCTTGTTACCAAGATGACTATTGTCCGTACTTTGATCTCTGTCGCTGCTATTCGTTCTTGGTCTCTTTATCAGATGGATGTTAAGAATGTTTTTCTTAATGGCCATCTCACTGAGGAGGTTTACATGCGTCCTCTCCCTGGTTTTCACCATTCCTCTAGCCAAGTTTGTCGTCTTCGGCGTGCTCTGTATGGTCTAAAGCAGTCTCCTCGTGCTTGGTATGATCGCTTTCAAACTGCTATTACCAAGCTTGGATTTCATCCTTCTGCTTCCGACTCTGCTTTATTTCTGAGACATACCTCAACTGGTTTTGTTGTTCTCTTACTATATGTGGATGATATGATCATCATTAGCTCTGACCCTACTGCTATCTCTAAGGTCAAGCAGCATATTTTCCGCATCTTTGAAATGAAGGATCTGGGACCATTACAGTATTATCTTGGTATTGAAGTGGCTTCTTCTCCCAAGGGTTACTTTCTATCCCAAGCTAAGTATGCCAACGAGGTTATCCATCGTGCCAGACTTATTGACACTAAGCTTTCTGATACCCCCATTGAGCTTAATGTGAAGCTTAACACTACTGATGGTGTTCCTCTGGACGATCCTACGTTATATCGCGAACTTGTGGGTTGTTTAGTCTATCTGACAGTTACTCGCCCTGATCTTGCCTATGCTGTCCATGTGGTCAGTCAGTTTGTTTCTGCTCCTCGCTTTACACATTGGGTTGCTTTGCTTTGAATTCTTCGCTATCTTCGTAGTACTATCTTACAGGGCTTGCTATTCTCTTCTACTTCTTTGTTAGATTTGGTGGCCTATGCTGATGCTGATTGGGCTGGCAATGTTAATGATCGTAAATCTACTTCTGGTATCTGTATGTTTCTTAGCGATTCCCTGATTTCTTGGAAAAGCTAGAAACAAACTGTTATTATCCGTTCTACTGCTGAAACTAAGTATCGTGCTATGGCTCATGCTACTGCTGAAATTGTCTGGCTTCGTGGTCTCTTATCTGACTTGGGCGTCCTTCAGTCTTCCCCGACCTCTCTCTATTGTGACAACTGAAGTGCTATTCAAATTGTCATTTCATCCGTCAGCATCTACAGTTTGGCATTATCTCGCTTCCTTTTGTTTCTTGAACTCTGCAACTTGCTGATTTCTTCACCAAGACTCACACCACTGCTCGGTTTCAATTTTTTCTTGACAAACTCTCAGTATTTTCTACTCAAACACTTTGAGTTTGAGCGGGGGTGTGAGAATAGTAATATTCGTTTTCCTTTTCCTTTTAGGATTAAGAATTAGTGTTAGTGTTCTATATCTAATAGCATTCTCTATCAATGGTGTATTTTGCTTAGGATTAGGATTTACCATTCTATATATTTGTGTGATGTATTCTTTGTTCAAGGCAATCTAATATACAGTTTTGTTTAGCAAACTTACAGTACGGTGACCCTTTAGATGTCTTTAAAAAAACTTAATCATGTAAAACATCATAGCAATACAAGGAATTACAAAACCACAATGACCATTGCAAAGTAGTAATGGCTACTTTTATCTTCTTTTCTTTTCTTTTTTTTTGGTTAGTTTCATGTTCCAGTATAGCCTTTAATAAATAAACTTCCACATGCAGTCCGTCGCACGACGTCCCATTCATGAGATGTTTGATCTTCAAAGGTCTCTTGATTGACTAATCCAAACAATGGAACAAAAACAAAAACAAAAATAAAAAACATTTAATATAGTGGAACCATTCAGATCCCAAGTCATCTATGCCTAGGGCAAAGGCAAAGAACACCACAAAATAACTTGGCAGCCCGAACAGTTGTATCACTTCAAGCTGAACTTCACAATGCTCACAACAAATTCTCCAGTTATACAGCAACTTCAAGCAAGACTCTTCAAATGCTTGAGCAGTAACACCCCAACTTCCAAATCTATCAAAGTAGAGGAGAACCCAAAAATGATCTCCAGCAACTTTACTGCCAAATCTCATACTTGCCTTGCTGTACAACCTGGAAATGTATCAGAACATGAGAATGCAATCTTATCACGAAATTGACAACCAAGTCATAGGACAAATGTGAACATGTTCTTCCCAAAATAAAGCCGTACCCAGTCTGCACAAGGCTGCTACTTACAACAACATTTGGTAGAGGTAGTAGGTAGGCAATCTTACCTTTTGTGTGTGTGTGGAGAGAAGATCAATAACACAATTAGCTGATGCAAATTCCCTAAAATTTATTAGTGGCTGAAAATATAAGCAAAATGCTGCCATTTTATCTTTTTAGTTTCCAAATTCATACTCAACAAATGAACATCTTTAGATCTTTAGATCTTTATGACACTACAGTCATGCAGGACAAAATTTTCCAATTTTTTTTTCTAACTTGTGTTCAGAAATAAAGCATTACAATGAATTTTACATTTTTTCTGAGCCAAGTAGATGTCTTCTAACACTTAAACCTTCAGCCCCTTCAAACCCTGTCCTCATACCCAAAAATGTACAAATTCAGTTGAAAAGTACCTGTACATTATGCATCTACTAGGAAGCTAATGGGTTCCTGGTCCATCTGTCATGCTCAAATTTAGACTGTTTCGCATGGTTCGTCTTCCGATTCCTGTATTACCTTTTTGCATCATAGCAGTGAATTCTTGATAATCAATCCTTCCATCCTGAAAGAACACGTAAATCAGAATCTATCACTATAAATATGTTTAATGCTGTACAATGATGCAATTTTTTGCAATACATGATATCAAAGTTGTTTGCAAGGGATCCACAGTTCAACATGTTTGAAACATACAATGTGCTGTCAAAAGATATTTAAGTGTGTCCAAGGATCATCAAGTTTAATTTGACCACATATGAAGAGAATAATTTATCTAACTTAAAATGTACACCATTTTAATCAGTAAACAGTATCTCAGCAGTTGCCAATATCTTTATAAGATAAGAATGGTTTGATCCCCTCAAGTACGTGGACTTACATTATCTTGATCAACTTCTCGAATTATATCTTCAAGGAAAACATCAGTCATGTTATGTTCCGCACAAGCCTGCTGGAGCTCATCAACTGTAATATAACCGCTTGCATCTTTGTCAAAGTATCGAAATGCTGCCATGAGATGTTCCTCTCGTTCTAGCTTGTTGAGGTGAACTGTCGCAGCAATAAATTCCCCATAATCAATGGTCCCATTGTTATCCACATCAGCCTGGAAACAACTATGACTGCTCAGAAATGCAAATGGTGTAACATGCACATACACAAAACAAGAACAATAACCTCATAGGTCATAGTCACCCTCATAACCAAAATCCCCAAGGCAATTTACAGACAACCTATGAAGCATGGACGACTCTCTAGAGGTCATGTACCGGTGTCGACACATGTAGGACAGGCTCCATACACATGTCAAACACACTGGAGAAAGTGTCTAATTTTTTTATTCTTTCAGTTGGACACACTAGGAACACATGGGTGTGTTTGGTTTGTGTTTGTAGAGTAGTTTTTGAGATAAAAAGTATGAAAACTTGTTTGGTTTGGCTTTTTTCAGAAATAGTTTTGGAAAACTGTTTTGGAGAGAGAGTTTTAAAAAAAGTGATTGATTTGATGTGTATGAGAGAGAGTGATTTCGGAAAGTAGGTAACTAAACAAAATTTTGAGATTTTTTTTGAAAAAATTTGTTTAGTTTGATTACTCTTAAAAATTTTATTTGTAGAGAATTTTTCCCAAAAGTTTTTCTGAAAAACAAACTAAACAAGGCCCGGTCTCCTCTTTTTGTTTTCACCGGAATAGCAAACCCAAGGTTGATAAATTTAATCAGAATAAATAACTGACATAGTATAAATGTATAATATTCAAATATATGACACATAATATATATATATATTTTGACGTATCTCCCGCATATGGCGTCATGCATTTTTTGAAATTTTACATGTCAATGTCTTGTCACGTATCCTTGTTCATGCTTCTTAGCAGACAACTCCGTAAGGCAAGCCTAAGACCATTAAAAAGGAGGATGTCTGTATTGTATTATACATCATAATCAACATGTTGCATGGCATCTTGCTTAGGTTCGACCCAAACAGGCTCTTAATGGTTTAGAAATCTATCATAATTGGAAAATATCACCATATTCCATATATAATTATTGCCTACATCACTGAAGATTTTACAATCACATTAAAATATTATTAAACAATAAACAACCAATCATTCCTACCACAATATTAAAGTATGTAATCCACTAACACAATATTTATTAATCCCCTCCCCGTAGCTAACATCATGAGACAAATTACTATCATCAAGTAAAATTTTATTGAAGAAAACAATAAAATGATACAGCTCCCAATCTTCCTAAATGGAGAGGGTTAGTCCAAGGTTATGTACGTTATTCCAGTGAATCACAAAACTTAACCTTAATCATCAAAAAAAATTATGAAATAGAAGAAAAGAAAGAAGCAGAGGATAACACATTAAAAATAAAACAAAGTAGGAAATAACGGGTGCATACCATTCAAAACTTAGAACAAAAGAGACTGAGTATACTAGGCAAAACTGTCTTACCGCATCCATAAGGTCGCGTATCTCCGTGTCCTTTAAGGTAGAGCCATATTTTCTCAAACCAGCTTTGAGCTCATCAAATGTGATAGCACCGCTGTTATCAGTATCCATTACCTGAAACATCTCTCTTAAACCAGCAATCTCTTCCTCTGACAGGCTTTCAGCTATTACCTGATGGCACAAAACAGACAAAGTTCAAATTTTGTGTCATATAGAGGTCCAAGTTAATGTCTCAATAAAGGAAATTGCTACAAGTTGACATCTAAGTATAAATTGTTTTGTTAAGTTGAAAGCCAAACTACGCGTTAAGTGAATCAAGCCTTTAAAAATTCCCTATATATGGGTTCATGATTTAAAAAATTAGAAAGATATAAGGAACAACTGAAAACCCCAAGCAGAAGAAATCAAAAAATTATACACGTAAACATGTGCATGAGTTAATTTACAACGTTCTATAAAAATTGTTTGATCTCCAATTATTCAGAATTAAGAAAGACATCACACAAAACGAGAGGAGTTTTGCTACATCCCCCCATTTCATCAGACCAAAATGCTGCTGCAGATAATAGCCATTTCAAATATTCCAAACAGATAACAAATTATCCAGGGTGGCCATGTTTTGCAGTATCAGCAAGTGTACCTATCATCACAATCACTCAGAAGCATGGGGAGTGCAGCCTCATAGGGGTCCATAGAGAAGGCAAAAAATAATAGGTGGTTTAGTATGCTTCAACATGCACCAACTACCAAGTTTGGATCACTTGTTATACAAGACTTACGATTATCCTTGCAAACAGACATGCTGTTCATGCTTTATAAGCATTTGGAGTGAGCACATCAGCTATCCAAGATATAGACATATCTGGGTATTTATTAATTTACTTTAGAAAACAATATGATACGTATGAATGCTAATGTGTAAGCTACAAGCCAACCAAGGAAAAGATGAATAAAGTAAAAAAATGAAATAGGTTCCCCAATCACAGTTTAGAGACATAACAGTAGTGAACTCTGTCGATACTGTTGAGTATCTAAATTAATGTCAGAGACACATTACAAGGAGTCAAATGGGCTGATCTAGGCACTCCATCCCTCAAATGGTAGAAGAAGTACCCCACATATCACAAAATTCATACTAAATAATCTTGTCATATACATACCCGTAAAGCCATCTTCTTTAACTTATTCATTGCAGAGAACTGTTTGAGGCGAGAAAGTACAGCTGGATCCAGAGATCTATCAGGAGCAACTCCATTTTCACAAATCCAAGGATGACCTATATAATTGTGATGAAATAAATATATCTCAATCCGATCAATGTTTTACTTCAGTCAAAATAAAGAGCATTGCCAAATACAAGAATGATCCCGTCAACCATAGATATTTTCTATGGTCAATTTCCTTGACCTAACAAGTTCCTTCAGAAAGTACAAGAGTGCACCATAATCACACCAATCAATAGGTGCAAATCACAACAATCAATAGCTTGTGCCTAAGAGTGCACCATAATCTCACCACATTGTGTCATCATCTAAGTATAAATTCAAAGGTGATTATAAATCTATTTTGGAAAAACCCTCCACAAATATATACACATGCCTTCGAACAATTATGCTATTAATCAATAACTTGGTTACAGATATATGGTCATTGGTCAGTATTTTGAACTGAATTTCATGGCAACTAATCATCACAAGGGTATCCAACTTAGATATATCCATCCAAATTAGAGGGTCACAATAATAGCTGAAGATAAATTACGAAGTAAGTTAAACATACACAATACTTCATGAGCAGTCAACCGTTCTGAAGGTCGAGAGCATAACATCTTCCGTATTAGATCCTTAACACTGTCAGATATAAGGGGCCATGGATCTGATTCAAAGTCAATGTGTCCCTTCAAAACAGCATCAAATATCCCCTGTTGTGTTTCTGAACTCCAAATAGAATAAACATTTAGCACATTGCAGGCAAAAATCAAAATTTATGCTGGTTTCATGTAACAAAGCAAACATACCTGCCCAAAAGGGTGGTACACCACTTAGCAGTATATATAGTATGACACCTGCTGTCCAGACATCTGCTTCTGGGCCGTAATGCTTCAAAAGCACTTCAGGAGCAACATAATAGGGGCTTCCAACCACATCAGTGAAGACCTGACCTGAAGTAGCATCAAGAACAGCATGTGGTTTTAAAAAAACACTAAACTCACTGTTTTATTGTACATTCTATGACATCTGAAAACTACATGCAAGAACACCAACAAAATTGGATTTAATCTTTTCTTTACCATCTAGGGATAGCAGATTTCAATTAAAAAGCACATGCTCTGCTTTTAATCATTCAACAAATCGAAAGTATGCCATTAAAATGGAAGGTATGTATACCTAGAGAATAAAACTTTTGTCCAACAAAAGGATTTTAAAATTGAATATGCATGACAAATTTTTTTGATTTGGTTCATTTGAATGCTTCAGAAGGGGAATCCTAATGCCCCCAAATTTACCTGGCTTGAAGAAAACTGAAAGTCCGAAGTCGATGGCTTTGAGAGTGAAATCATCATCCTTGTTAACCAGCAAGAAATTCTCAGGCTTTAGATCTCTATGAATAACCCCAAGTGAATGGCATGCCTCAACAACCCCTACAATAATCTTTGTCAATTCAGCAGCCTTTCTCTCACTGTAATGTCCCCTCTGAATGATACGGTCAAACAATTCCCCCCCGGAACAAAGCTCCATCACGATATGAACATACAAGGTATCCTCATAAGCGCCCTTAATGGTCACAATATTCTTGTGACCCGCCAAATGGTGCATTATCTGAATCTCCCTCCTGACATCCTCCACATCTTCTTTCGAAATCAACTTTCTCTTGGAGATAGATTTACATGCGTATTCAATGCCGGTGGAAATCTCAGTGGCTAAATAAGTAGTACCAAATTGCCCTTGCCCTAATTTACGACCCAATGTGTAAAGATCACGGATATTGGCAGTCTTATGACCCAATACATAATAAGCCTGGTTATCAGTGTTACGCTTCATGATGCCGTCTTTTGTAGAAATAATAAAAGAGGGTTTACTGTTATTGTATTTCTTGGGGTAATCCTTGGAGAATTCTTGAGCGATAAGCTGTTGAGTGTTCAAGCTGTTGGGTGAGTCATCGGAAAGATTAGAGTGGCTAGAAGAAGTGTTCCGCTTGGAGATGGACTGGTCTTCGGGCTGATTGTAGCCCTGAAAAGTTCTTACTCCGAAAGATCCACGGCATGTGTTGCCCATGAAACAATCACAATTCCCCCCTCCCCTTTCCCTATATTGTTCAGAGACCCTCTCTCATCCAATTCCACTGTTTCCTCATCAATTACGCTGAACCTAGCTTCAAAACAAAATTTAAAAAATTTAAGGCCTGAATCTCTCCGATCACAAACTCAGAAACAAATAATATAGCAGGTTTTTTTTTTTTTTTTTTATTTTCTTTCTTTCTTTTCTTTCCTTGTCTCAATTCAATGCTTTGGAAAGCAAACAAATGAGTATCAAGTCACAATGAAAAATTATGATATCAGACCGGACTGGTTAACATCAATTTAAACAACAAAATGCGAACGATTCATTCTCAAACAACAACATACTACGAAATTACAAATAATTTACGACTGATTAAAGACCAGATACAATAACACAAGAAAATTTTAAAATTAAAAAAAAAAACGTGGAAAAGCAAAAAAAATAGAAATGTATAGATGATAAAAGTGAAGAAGAGAAAGAGAATACAATACCAGGTGAAATGAAGAAGGTGAGTGGAAAAAACGAAAGGGTTTTGATGCGAAGATCACGTAGAACGATGACGATGGAGAAGATGATGATGATGATGATGATGATGATGATTTTTATGATAATCGATGTCTATCTCCAGCACCTCTTAATTCCAACTCCAAGTGCTCCACCGCCACATTTATTAATAAATCCGTGAATTCACAAGGCCTCTCTCTCTCTCTCTCTCTCTCTCTCTCTGTGTATTATATATATATATATATAGGAGTAATATTTATTTTTTCTTTTCCTATTAGATTAGATTAGATTAGATCAGGCGTTTTGCCAAGAAACATCGGAGGATTTTGAGTGCTGACCAGCTCTGCTCTGCTCTGTCTCTTTCTCACTCTTTCTTTTTATATCAATAAATATATCATCCTAACGCGGTTTTATGTATTTTTCACGTCATCATAACATAACAGCACAGCTTTGTAGTCTGTATGTGTTGTTGTTTTACTTACAGATCAAGATCTAATCAAATAGTAAAATATAAAGTGATTAATAATGACAATCTAATCTACTCGGTTTCCAGGAACGAGAGAGAGGTATAAAACTTTGGTTCCTCTGCATATGTTATTTTATTTTTGACCTCGATCCAAATTTTGGATTTTTTATTTTTATTTTTATTTTTTTGTTTTGTTTATTTTGAGTTTAGAGGGAGAGAGTATATTTCGGAGTGTAAATTGTAATAAAATGTTTAATTTGTGCTGTTGGAGTGTTGCTCAGCCATTGATTGGAAAATGGGGGAAGAGTCATTATTCATTTCCCTATTCCACGTGCGCAGTAAGTAAGTAAGTAGAACATGAATAGCCAGCCAGGAATGGATGGCCTTTTTTGCCTTTGGTTTTGCTTGGTCAAATATGTTGCCCACCCAGCTAATTTTAGATGGGCGGGCAGCATGTTTTACTCTCCCAAATTTAAGCACACCCTTTGACGTTTTATCCTCCTCCTCCTACCACCTCACTTCGTATCAACTTTCATCCTGTGCATGCTTGTAATAAGTCTTCAAAATATTCTTTTCAAATATTGCTCTTAAATTTATTTATGCCTTTCTTGAAAATATGTTATTTTATTAATTTTTTAATTTTTTTTTATTAAAATATGAAATTAAAAAAAAATTAATATGTTTGAGGTGATTTTTTTACTTTTATCAATACAAAACAAAAAAACGTATAAAAAATATATAAAAAAAAAAACAAAATCTTTGACTTTTTTTTGTATAATTTGTTAATTTTTTGACTTGTGTAATGATTTTTTTGCTATACTTTCTGTACGGGGAAGAAATAATTCTCCTCGTATAATCCTGTTGACTATGTCCTCGCTCCTCCGTACGACGTCGCTTTGTCACCTGAAAACACAAACGTGAGCTAGCCGGCGGGTGTGTGCCGGAAACCTCTCCGATGCCTAAGTCAGAAAACTTGACAAATAGACAAAGCTCAATGTATTCAAGAAGCAAAATTGTAAGTTGTGTGCTGTTACCCCCTTCCAAGGTAATGCTTGTGAGTTTTTATAGGTTTCGAGTGGCCCAATCCTAGTAGGACTTTTATTTCTCCATGCAGAGTCCTCCTAGGATTCATACTCCTAAAGGATAATGCTTATCCTTTTATACCCCCCACTGCTTAAACCAAGTGGGATGGTTTTCATCATGGCCGAACTTCCATACAACCGAGATAAACCTGGATATGCCGAGCCACAGATTAAGCCAGACTATCATTGGTTCGGTTCTCCCTTCAGTCTTCCTTACCTCGGTTCTCTCCTGTTCAACCCATAGTACGTTCAGACCGAACCCACGATTCTGGACCGGTATAACTCCAAACTGTTTCCGGACCGAAGTACTTTACAACTCCTAAGCCGAAGTAACTTCTTCTTCTTTCGACCGGAGTAACTTTGTCCCTATTGGGCCGAAGTAACATTACAGCCTCTTTTACACAGTCCTCCGTACTTTGGGCCACAAAATTCATCTTATAGCTCGGCCCAATTTTCACCAAAAATTACCCTCTCAATTGCCCCTTAATTCCATCTGCACAGCATGATTGGGATTACCAGTCTACTAGCCGAGCTGGAGTTTTTTAAGCTTTTCCAGCCGAGCTAAAAACCCTTTAGCGTCTCCAGCCGAGCTAAAAAAACTCCTAAGTCTTTCAAGCCGAGCTAATTTTTACTCCGGGCTTTGTTTTGTCCGGTCAAAACGTCTCTTCAATCACTAACTGTAACGCTTCACTTTCCAATGACACGTGGCAGGTTCTGATAGGCTGTGAGCTGTCACCACGCCGCCTTCGTACTTCGAAATTTTTGAACAGTCTCGCCCCCTTTTTGCCGCTTTTTCTCTCTCCTCTTTCACAAAACCACCCTTTCATTTTTCTAATCATTTACTCTACTCCCTTCTTCTTCTCTCTCTTGTTCCTGAGCCCTGATTTTGAGCTAGCTGTGTTCGTGCCCTCCATTGCTGTCACTGCCTCCATCTTCAAGCTCCTTCCTTCTTACTCTGGTAAGCAAATCTAACCTCCTCGCTTTGTTTGTTTTCATATTTTGCTTTCTATGTTTTTGCGAAACATTTTTCCTCCGTTTCTGCTTTGCTGTTGCTGTTTTTCTATAAGAAGAACTTCAACTGTAGAACACATGTGTGTGGATTTATTTCGTAGAAAACTAGTCTTAGATCCAAAATCCTGTAGCAACCGAACTAGGATACTGTTCGTCTTATATAGGTAGATCACTTTAGCAAATAACCGAACTAAAACTTGGAAGAATCAGTAGTTTCAGTGGGTTACCAACTCCTGATTCACCTTAGCCGAAATAAGATCACCGAGGCTTGAACATATTAAACTAGGAACTTTGGTTTCAACCGAACTAAGTTTTTGGGGCTAAGCCAGCTTTCTTAGTTTCTAAACCGAACTCAGAAAGCTGCCCCTAGAGGCTCAACCGAAGTAACTTTATTCATACATCAACCGGTTTAGGCCTTTGGGGCTAACCCAGCTTTCTTAGTTTTTTAGACCGAACTCAAAAAGCTGCCCCTAGACGATGAACTGCTCAAACCGAGCTATCAATCCTTTTGATGAACCGAGGTAGAACCAGCTCGCAAGGCCGAAGTAGGGCTCTTGTATCTTGCTTTTAATTTGTAGCACGGTCCAATGATCAGTGCTTAACCCCTTTGTTTTCTACTTTGCAGACTTAGGTTACCCAGGCACTCCTGTGTGCGCTCAACCGAGCTACTGAGCACGATTTTTGCACCGATATAATTTATTCGTACATTATACACCAGATGGGTAAGTATAGATATTTGGTAGAGACCCCTGGTGGCATGGCCGAATTCCGAAAGGATTATGGTATTCCAGACGATGTACACCTTACCCTTGCCAAGAAGGATATCATACCCTGGGGTGAGGCAGGCTTTGTACCCTTTACCCTGCTTTCAATAATAGAGACCGGACTAAGGTTCCCAGTCCAGCCTTTAATTTGTGAATTTCTTAGGCAAACCAGACTATGCCCAACCCAGCTATCCACCAATACATACCGGATAATAATGGGTATAGCCGAGCTAAACCGCCAAGCAGGCCTGAACCTCGGTTTAGCCGAAATCTTCCACCAGTACTCCATAGGTTCCAAAGATGATGGCTGGTTTTATTACCTTAGGATACGCCGCCGTAGAGAAAAGATAATACAAGATACGCCGGATAAGGACGTCAATGATGATGACTTTTTCTGGGTATCGGGCAATTTTGAAGATCAGCAAGCCCAAATCCCAGGCCGAAGTATAAACTGGAAGAAAGGAGAACCTGGTATAGTTACTTCGGTTTTATACATGCTTGGTTGCTCGAGCGCAAATTCCCTCGCTTGAGCAGTCTGTAAACTCTGCAAAAGTACTGATTGTGTGAAATTTTCACTCAACAATCGCTCGACGGTCGCTTGAGCCTGTGATTGAGGTCTTCGCTCGAACACAACTATTGTCGCTCAAGTGGTTTGCAAAACATGTAAACTTCTGGAGTATGCATTTTACGCTCGAGCCAACTATAGGTCACTCGAGCGGGGGTGCAAATCACGGAGTGGTCGCTCGAGTACAGGATCTATCGCTCGAGCGGAGAGGCAAAATCTGAAATTTCCAGATTGCTCTGCTAAGTGCAAATTCAATTTCAAAATTGCAAATCATGGTCTTTTGGGCCAAAAACTTAAGTAAACTTGAGAAAACACTTGTAAATGGATAAAACATGGTGAATTCAAAATCATTTCACATAATCAAGGCCCGAAAGCCTACCAATTGTGCAAAACAACACTTCATTCTTTGAAAAGATAACATGCATGCTTTATCTTGACTTCAAAGCTTCCAAAACATGATCAATTAAGGTTATGTGGTAAGAAATGTGATGAATTCTCAAAACAAGGCCAAGATGGACACATGCAAGTATGACTTGAGTGAAATTCAAACCCAAAATGCCATGATATATGCATGCATGCATGGAATGACCCTCATTTCTAATTCATTAGCTTATCTCTTGCATAACTGTAATAACCCTCACCACTGATTACTGTTAAACTGAGACTGATTGTGTTAAATAATTGAATCGACTGAAATACTGAACTGACTGATTGAATGTACTAGTTTAAATGCATTTCTATCTGTTTGACCGTTAAATTATCTGTCCATGTTTTATGTTTAAATTGCGAATTGAAGGCTTTATCGGCGGCCGAATCCGGAATCGATTGATGTTTTCTGATCATTAGAATTTACATGATTTTATGGTGTGTTTATTTGAAAACTGATTTGGTATGATTACATTGGATCAATATTGATAAATTACATATATTGGCTTTAATTACAACTTTGCCATTTGAGTGGGCCACTACACCAAACTTTGTTTAAGGCTTAGTCTTGCATTACACAACTCTTCCTCAGCCATTTTGAGAGCATAGCCGACTAGAGTGAGAGAGTGGGAGGAAAAGAGTGTTTTCAACTTGAATTCATCAATTTTAGTTTGGAGATTTGAAGGAAGTGAAGAGAGATTGCATAATTGAGCTTCCTTATTTTGCATTGGAGACCTAAGGTAGTATAATCACCCTCTTGTTTATGAATTGAGCTTGTTCTTGCATGATTCATGTCAAAATTAGGGGATTGAGTCTAGAATTGGCTTAATGTGTTGAATTGTAGCATAGATCTTGCATGCATGCTTTCATTGTCGAAATTTGAGTCGATTTCATGGAAAATTGTTACTTGCATGTCCAAGTTCTACCTAAGGTTCATGAA